GTGCGCGCGCTGCCGCAACCACGGCGTGGTGTCCTGCCTCAAGGGCCACAAGCGCTTCTGTCGCTGGCGCGACTGCCAGTGCGCCAACTGCCTGCTGGTGGTGGAGCGGCAGCGCGTCATGGCCGCCCAGGTGGCGCTCCGGAGACAGCAGGCCACCGAGGTGCGTGCCCACTCGGCCCCGGGGCGCGCCTCGCCGGGGCGTCCCGGGCCACGAGGGAGGTTGCGGAACTGGAGGGGCCGGGGCAGCGCCCCTGTCCAGGGCCTCGCGGCACCTGGCACTTCCTCGGATGGGTGGTGAGGACGCTTCGCTGTCCACAGGGGCGTGCGGGGTCGGGAGGGGGAAAGCTGTGGGCATCGCTGGGGAACTTGGCAGAACAGCTTTTATATTAAAAAAGCAGGCAGAGAGGCCTGAAAGTGATCAGGCCCATTTGGGACATTATGAGAAAATCGTTTTGTTTTTTTTTTTAAAAACATGTATTTTGCATTTAAAAGTTTACATAGGTAGTGCTGGGGGCGGAGAGAGGGAGGAGTGTGGTTGACCCCCGGCGCGGCGTCCAGCTCCAGGCTTCTCACTGCGCTGTGGTCGAGAATAAGAACCCCGCGGCTCCTGCTGTCACCGGGCCGTTCTAGATATTCAGGACGTGCTGCCCACTTGATGGATGAGACAAAAAGTGCGTGGGAAGTTAGGTGCCCGCAGTCCAAGGTCAAGTAACCTGCAGCTGCTCTTCCTGCAAACGACCCAAGAGCCTGTGGAAGGGTGTCTGCTACCTCCCACCCGAGACTCCCGCTGTGAGGAGATCCAGGGTTTTCTTTACTAAAGAGCCCCTTGAACCTCGGTGTTTATGTTTTCATGTGTGCCTGCACGTCTCCGCGTGAGATCTCAGAGCGAGGGAGGGCCTTCCTCCAGACTCAGGACGGGGGAGGTTTTTTATTTTACTTTTTGGAGGCGAGGAGTTGGCCAGTGGGTCACCATACATACTAAAGGCAGTGACCCCAAAGGAAAGCTTCCCGAGGGCCCCGGAGAGCGCTCTGGACGCCAAGGTGGCCCTGGACCTGGGCTTGACCTTCTCCCGCGTCGGGCGTCAGCTACGGGTCACCGCGGGCCCAGCGTTCCTGCGCGGTCTGCTGAGTTCGACGCAGGCATGGAAGGGCCTGGAATCCCAGCCTGGCGGTGAGGACCGAGCAGAGGGCGGGAGTCTTTCAGCTCTGTGTTCCCGGCGGCCTCCAAAAGTTTTGTTCGCCTTCATGCGCAAATCTGGAGTTTGTGGTGGGACCGAGGAGACCCTCATATCTTCCTATCACACCCCAGCACCCCATCCTGCCTGGCATAACTGCCCAACATCAGGTCTTGGCACCTACATCTCAACAGGTGGGCGCCCAGGACGCAGCTGTGGGTCAGTCGCCACCCCCCTCAAGACCAGGCGCCTACTGTCTCCCCGATTATGAATTTCACCTCTCTCCAGGATGTCCCCCCAACTTCTGGCCACTGGTCTTCTGTGAAGCCAGGCTGGGGTGACTCTGCTAGGGAAAGCCAGGGGCTCAGCTCACCAGTTGGTGGCTTTGACTGGAACTTCCAACTCATTGCCCAGGATTACAGGGTGCTGATAGTAATTCGTTAGGAATCATTTCCTACACAAGATGGGAAAATAAATATATTTAGACCGGGAAGGGTTTCTAGATTTGCTGAGCCCCTGCCTTTGCTCTTCTCTTTTGTATTTTCTTTTGGGGCATTATTGATTGTTTCTTGTGTTTACAGGACAAGAAGGGGATTTCTGGAAAACAGAATAATTTCGAGCGCAAAGCTGTTTACCAGAGGCAAGTCAGAACACCCAGTTTGCTGGCCAAAAGCATTTTAGAAGGTAAAAGAACAAAAAATTATCCTTTTAAACTTAGTCAGGAACTCTCATTATTTAGGCAAATTGCATATTTATTAATCCGTGTAGGTGTTATCTGAGGGGAAAATAACTCTTTTTTTTTCTTTTGAGTTGGCGTCTCACTGTATGGCTCAGGCTGGAGTGCAATTGCAAGATCATGGCTACAGCCTCGACCTGCTGACCATCCTTCCGCCTCAGCCTTCCAAGTAGCTGGGACTGCAAACATTCACCCCCACACCTAGCTACTTTTTTCCTTCAATTTATTGTAGAGATAAGGTCTTGCTGTATTAGAGAGTTTTCTTCTAGCGCTCACTTTGGCAGCATGCATACCCAAACTGAAACCTTACAGTTGGGGGCCATAGCATGGCCCCAGCACAAATCTGTTTTCCTCTAGGAAGGAAACCACTGCCTGGGAAAATGAATCTCACCTATCTGCCAAGACTTTTGTCACCATTCGTTTAAGAACTCGGATAATTTTGTTGTCTGTTTAATGGTTAATGGGTTAACATGGAGTGCATATGAAATTTGCCCCACAGTGAGGGATGTACAAACATGCACTGCCAAGTGATCTGGGAGCAGATGTTCTGGAAGGAAATAAATACATTATAAAAACACCCACACCCACACGACTACAGCCACTTTTCTTAGTTGTGGGAGCCTAATAGATCAAGTCAAGTGAGGAGTTTAGCAGCTACCTGCGACCAATAAAGACCTCTCCTCTGGGGGAGTTCAGCCTCAGATTCCAATCTTTTTTCATTGTACTATTTTCCTCCTCAGATTATCTAGGTAATTGCTGTTATTCCATGCTTCATTTTACCATTTTTGACAGTCGAAGTTGTAAGATCAGCAAAAGACTTTGAATCCAGCAAGTTAAGTGGGAAGGGTGTGAAATCTCAACTTTTTCTCGCCATGTTTTCACTTTCACTAAAGCCTGGGGGAGACATTAGTTTTTTTTTTTAAAACATTACTGATTTTTTTAGCATTTCTATTTGGGTATGTAATTTATTTATTGATCCACTCAATAAAATATTGGATATTTTCCACCATTTTTCTTAAAATTTTAAAGTATTTTAATAAAGGAAAATTTATATTTGCTTTTATCACTGCCCCTTCATGAAATTCAGGGTGGAAGTAGTTTTTTTTTCTTTGTAAGATACACACTTGAAATCTTTTTTTCCTTGTGTGCTTTATTAATTTAATTGGTTCTGGACAGGTTTTGAAGTTCATTTGTGTCTCATCCTGTGCTGTGTACTTCTGACCTAAGAATGGTTTTTCATGAATTAGAAATGAAATTTGGTTACAAACTGGATAAACAGATTTATCACAATAGGGACCACATCGATAAACTGAAATTGTGCCAAAGCAACTTGAGAAGTGCGAGGACTAAATGAAACAGTAAATTTAAGAATAACTTATTGGCAAAACTTACCATGGAAATGGAGGCATTAATTTTCAAATTTTATTTTATTTGAAAATTAATATGATAGGTTTGTCTCTATGTAAATACAAATATAATAATGGATCCTTCAGACAAATTTGATAGAGGTGAGTGCTTGGGATGATGAAATACTCGAAGCATTTTATGCCTCTAGGAATTCTATTTATGTTCTACTAATCTTTGTTTTTGACTTTGTCCCTATTCACGTGATGACTTAATCTGCGTTCTAATGATTGCTTGTTCAACTATTTTGGTAACTGGCCAACGTGCTTAGAGCTTAGGAAAAATGTTTTAGGCCAGTTATTTTCAGTATAGCAGGGAATATCTCCATTCTCACCCTCAGTTTTTGGTTTTGTTTTGTTTGTGCTAGTAGTCAGGGGAAAGGGCCTGGTTAAATTGTTCATCGCAGAGTGTATTTGACTAGTTAATGACTCTTTTCAGTTTTCTGTGCTTCTCTATTTTCTTAAGTCTTTTTTTAAACTCACTAGTCGCCTTTAAATTTCTTTCTTTCTCTTTTTTTCTAGTTCTCCTTGGATTATTCTACAGCTATATCAGTGTGTACATGTTGAGCCATCTTTAGAACATAAAGGTGACTTCAGCTCTAGGTATAGATATCTTTTGTAATAATGAAAAATGATGACATGGATAATAAAATACCAACTGAGATGAGCAGCCTTGTCTTTTGATGTATAGGGGCCTGGAAAGAGTATTAAAATTTCAGTCAAAATATGCCTGTTGAAGCAAGCAAGCAAACAAACCTATAACAACAACAAAAAAGTTACAATATGAATATCATTTCTCCCAGAGGAAAATACTTTAAACCAAACCTATACTTTCTGTCTCTCCCTCTCTCTATATCTCTATCTCTATCTCTATCTCTATCTCTTTTTTTGTGCTGGGTTCTTACTCTGTCACCCAGGCTGGAGCATAGTGGCACAATCATGGTTCACTGCAGCCTTGACCTCCTGGGCTCAGGCGATCCTTCTGTCTCAGCCTCCTGAAAATTTGGGACTACAGGTGTACGTCACAATGCCCAGCTTTTTTATTTTTATTTTTGATAGAAATGAGGTCTCGCCATGTTGCCTAGGCTGGTCTTGAACTCCTGGGTTCAAATAATCCTCCTTCCTTGGCTTCCCAAAGTGCTGGGATTACAGACATGAGCCACCATGCCTGGCCCACGTTTGCTTTCTGTAGAAAAATATTAGTGTTATATAAAACTTTATATAATTGTTTTGCCAACATGTAGTGTTTCTGTTGCCTTTTAGATTTCCAGATTCCCCCCCCATATATTAATCTCTTTCATGTGGAATGTTTGCTTATTTTAGGTTATCGCCCAATTCCAGCAGAGACTTATGTAGGAGGGACCTTCCCTCTGCCTCCCCCAGTTAGTGACAGGATGAGGAAAAGAAGAGCTTTTGCTGATAAGGAGCTGGAGAACATTATGCTGGAGAGAGAATATAAAGAGAGGGAGATGTTGGAAACGTCCCAAGCTGCTGCCTTGTTCCTGCCCAACCGCATGGTTCCTGGACCTGAGTACAACTCCTACAAAAGTGCCTGCAGCTCCAGCCCAGTGGACCCGTCAAGCAAGGACTTCTGCAACTTTCTGCCCACCTGCCTTGATCTAACCATGCAGTATTCAGGGTCTGGAAATATGGAACTAATTTCTTCCAATGTCAGTGTGGCCACGACTTATAGACAGTATCCCTTGTCCTCGAGATTTTTAGTTTGGCCCAAGTGTGGCCCCATTAGTGACACTCTCCTCTACCAACAATGCTTGCTAAATGCCACCACCTCAGTTCAAGCCCTGAAGCCTGGGACTAACTGGGACTTGAAGGTAGCACGAGTCCAGGATGGACTCAGTGCAGAGCATGACATGATGCCCCCGAAATTAGAAGCCTCCCTGGTGCTGCCTCATGCTCCAGAGGTCCAGACCTCGAGAAATGACCTTCAGGGTCACCAGACTGTCCCTGAGAGGTCTGCATTCTCCCCACCCCAACGGAATTTTTCTCCCATTGTTGACATGGACTCCCTGGCAGCTCAAGGGCACGTCTTAACCAAGATCAGCAAAGAAAACACCAGGCACCCTCTGCCACTTAAACATAATCCATTCCACTCCTTATTCCAGCAAACGCTTAATGACAAATCATGTCCTGAGTTGAAAACACCATTTGTCAAAGAGGCCTTTGAAGAGACCTCGAAGAAACACAGAGAGTGTTTTGTCAAGGAGAACCAGAAGTACACATTTACAATAGATAGATGCGCAAAAGACCTTTTTGTAGCCAAACAAGTTGGAACAAAACTCTCAGTGAATGAACCGCTGTCATTTTCTGTTGAGTCTATTCTTAAGAGGCCTTCGTCTGCCATCACTCATGTCTCTCAGTGAAAGACTGCTTACACAGAAAGCTGGATTTTCTGCAGTCTCAGAGAGTTTCTGTCATTCGCTAACTTTTTTTAAAGTTAAAATGTTTGTATAAAGAAATTTCTAATGTAAATGATGATTTCTAAAAATTCTATATATTCATATGCATGTACTTTTTTTATCACATAAATATATTTAAACTTAAAGATTGCCCAATGTGCAAATTGTAAAGTTCCATGCTCTACACAGCATTTCAAAAGCAATAAAATTGACACTGTCTTCTAAAATCCCAGTATTTGCTGAAGCAGTTAACTGTCTCTGTCTAGATGAAATAGCTAGTGTCCAGTGTTCGTGAAATGTACTCTTTATTTTCCTATGATTCTGTATATCTTCACGCACTCTTAATGGCCACTGGGGGCCACAAGAAAGCCCTTATAGTACTTTAAATTTGTATTTTGGAGGGGACATAAATCTAGCTGTTCAAGACTATGGCAAACACAACATTAAAGAGAACATAGAGCTGTTTGCATGTTTATGGTATCTTAATTTCATGTGATTGAGCAAAGTTGAATTAATTTGGAGGGAAATCAAATGTAATATTTCATTTACATGATGATGTGGTTTCTTGGAATGGATTTATTTTGGTTCCCTCGTTCCTAGATTCTTTCTTTGGCAGGATGTGTATGGGAGCCTCAAGCTTCCTTTCTAGGAAAGGAACATTCTTTGAACATTTCTAGTTTCTCATTTTAGGTTGGTAGGAGCCACAAATCAGGTTCCCTTGTAAGATGCTGTCAGTTCAGCCCACGGTATGGTCCAAACCTTCTCTCAGCTCTTGTATGAGTCCACTGTTTCTGAATCATTGGTGACAGCAGGCATCTGGATGCAGGCCCAGTCACAACTCTCAGCTGGTTTCTGGGTATCAGCTTTATGCCTCCCACATTTCCACCAATGTCAAAGGCTTTCAGGGTAGCCATCTTCTGACAGAAAAAACATTTACTATTCAAATTGCCTTAACTGACAGTTGCTGAAGCCTGCAGATATTTATCACAGCATGAGGGTGGCTTCTCGATTCTTATCCTTTTTTCCCCATTTTTAAGTTTTTTTTTGTTACTCTTGTTTGGTTCAGCAAATGTTAACTCGTGTTCCATATGATTGATACAATGAGAGTAAGACATTTATGAGAATATTAAGTTCATCTCTTAAGACCTCGCCTGTGGACCCCAACTTAAGTTCTTTTGTTTGTTTGTTTTTGAGTCAGAGTCTTACTCTGTCATCCAGGCTGGAGTGCAGTAGCACTATCACGGCTACTGCAGCCTCAAGTTGGTGGGCTCAGGCGATCTTTCCATATCAGCCTTCCAAGTAGCTGGGACTATAGGCATGCGCCACTACACCTGACTAATTTTTAAAAAAATTTATTATAGAGACAAAGTCTTTGTTGCCCAGGCTGGTCTCAAATCCTGATCTCAGCAATCCTCTTACCTCAGCCTGTCAAGTGCTGGGATTGTAGTTGTGAGCTGCTACATCAGCCTCAAAATCAAGTTCTAAGATGTCATCAGCATCTCAGTACAGAAAACCAAGGACCAAATATCTCACCTTTAATACTACCATGGAGTGAGGTTTTACTTCCAATTTTGCTTCTTCTGGGTAACAAGAATACTAGGTGGTTATGTGGAATGTGCCAAGTGATTCAGCAGTTAAAAGGGTTTCTTTCTTGCTCTTAAAAACACTTTGTATTTTAAAATGATTGCTACTGATGAGCTCATGTGAACCTCCAGGGATTCTCTGAATTGTTGCTTAAAATTAGTATCGATTTCAAAAACAATAAGCCAGACCTGAGGCTGATTTTCAGTTTGTACTTGTAAGATAATACTTCGGTTTGTTGAGTCAAATTTACTTATTTTTCTTATTGCAAAAGCAGAGTGAATGGAAGTTTGCCAGAAGAAAAGAAAATGAAAGTAGACAGAGATTCCAATAACTGTTAAAGGTTTTCATTAAGTGGAAAAATGTTTTCCAGCCAAGTATGCCCTGGTGTCAGAGACAGACTCTAACTCTAGCTTTCCCCTTCAGTCATCTTTGCTTTCTCTATAGCATCACTACTTTTTGTCTTCTTATCAGAAATTTATTTTTTGTCTGGTGTTCAGTGTTAAATACTTAACATTGAATTAAAAGTCTTCAGAAGTAATGAAGGAAAACACATTAGAATAAAACCATACTGAAAAATTCCAAGGAGAAGGCCTTCTTCATCCAAACATTTATCTTCTCTCTTTCTTACTCCATTTTTGTATTTTGAATACTTGTGTTTGTCAATTTCTTCCCCTTTGTATTCAGTGAACATATTAGGACTTCCTTTCTGTCCTCTCTTGATATCATTTTAATCCCATTAAGTGAATCCCGTTGGCTGTGGGTATTAGTGGCTTTTCTCACATTACCAGTGACCAGAATTTTATTGTTCTTGAGCATTTATGAGGGTCAGTGCTTTCCTTGGCAAATTTATTATTATACCATGCATTAGTTCTGCTGCACTGATGAGTTCTTTGAATTTTAAACCTACCAAATCTACCATCATCCATTTATTAAGAACTTTGTGTTTGGGTCTTTGCTTTTTAAAATCATTTCTCTTCCATGAAAGCTGCCACATAGTGTCTGCAAAAAAAAAACTGTCGTTGATGTGTTAATTCAAACTTATGGTTCAATTTGAGCACTTTCTATGTTAAAAGCAATAAGTGGATATGGCTTTAATAATTTTTGAGAGTGTAAAGAATAATAAAACATGGCCCAAGTCTTCAGTTTAACTCACAGTACAATATTGCTAGCTTTAATGACATGTTTTTCTTCCATCTCAGCTCACCTAGTGTTACTTATTGCTCAGCTTGTAGTTTTCAAAAGTTTACTACAACAGTCTTCTCACACTTTAATGGACCTGAGAATGCTGATGTTGCCTGTCTTCAGGCAAATGTTTACAGAATTTCTGTTATTTTGATGCACACGTAATACACTCTGCTGTGGATTTTGAGTTCTAATGCAATCATAATAATATTACTAGCACAAATAATTTATTATGCATGGAGAGTTGAAAAATCATTTTTCTTTCTACTGACCCTTTGGGCGTAGCAGTAGGACAAGAACCAGGCAAGTCATACAGTAGACACAGTCTGCTCCACTTCTTTCTCTCCCTTCCCCCCCCAAAAAACTAGAAGTTGTTTTAGCTGGGTTAAAGAAATAATACATACTTTTAAATTTTTAATTGTTGAAAAATGCACATAAATATACCATCTTAATCATTTTTAAGTATAGAGTTCAGTGGAATTAAGAACCTTCACGTTGTTGTGCAGCCATCGCCATCATCCATCCACATAACCACTTTCATCCTGCAGAACTGAAACTCTGTACCTACTAAGAATAACTCCCTGCCCTCTCAGTCTCTGGCAAACACCATTCTACTTTCTGTGAATTTGACATCTCTAAGCACCTCTTATGAGGAGAGTCATACAGTATTGTCTTTTTGTGACTTATTTCACTTAGCATAAAGTCCTCAAGCTTCATTATGTTCTAGCATGTCAGAATTTCCTTCCTTTTTAAGACCGAATAGTATTTTATTCTGTGTGGGTATATTATTTTGTTTTATTTATTTAGTCATCTGTCAATAGACACTTGGGTTGCTTCCAATTTTCAGCGATTGCAAATAATACTGCTATGAACAAGGATGTGCAAATACTTACTTGAAACCCTTCTTTCAGCTTATTTGGATGTTTATGCCCCTTATCAACACCCAATCCTCACTTCCTAATTTCACCTACCTTTAGGCACTGAGTTTTCTCAGTTATACATTCCTCCCACACTATCTCCTCTCCCCCAATGTGTGGACCATTTCCAATAAACATTACTATCAGCCAGAAAGACTGCAGTATCAGTTGTGTGCCTTTTTTTTTTGTAAGTAGGAATTTATTAGAGGATAGAAAAGCTCCCAGCAGCTGGAGGAGTCCCGAAAGGGCTGCCCAGTTGTGTACCTTTTAATACGAGTTTAAGTGAGGTCATCTTTATGTAAACACTTACTTTCGATTGTGTAATGAAAGACTGTAACTTGTATTAAAAAGCCTTCTGGAATTCCTTCTTCAAAGTCTGAGAAGTGCTAAAAAGCAAATAAATGGCTGTAGGTCAAAGTGAAAAAAATACAGAGAATTCACAGTTCCTTATAATAAAGACATCACTTAGTCTCAAGGCTGGTTTTTCAACTGGGACTAGAATTCTGGCTAGCCCATCTGATTTCATTAGTTTTTTATTAACTTTAAAAATTCCTATTCTAGGTCTATAAACTCAGGCTTACTCCCACAGGTAGAATGCAATTTGTAAGGCTAATAGTTCTTGAAATAGCTGGGACCCTATGTTATATAAACTTGGACCTGGAACATCCTTTTATATTTATTTTAATAATTGTACAACACTTTTTATTCTGTTTCATCCCCTAAATTCATTTGGTTTCTAACTTGACATATCTAAATATGTCTGCTGGATAGGTATACCTGGAAATAGGTTGGCATCTGGTGTAATGATAAATGTACATTCGTCATAATTAATGTGTATTTAGAGTCTGCCACTTTACAAAGCACGTTCATGTTATCACTTATATTTCACATATAAATTCTATACAAATTTGGCAAATGGCCATATGAAAAGTTAAATCTACATCTTTGTGTGTGTGTACACAAGTTTGGGAATTTTTTTCAAATATACACTTGACTTGATATCACATAATCCATCTCTAAACTTTTATATGTAAATATTGTGTATCTAATGCTTATATGTAATATACATGATAAATTATGTTTGTATTATTGGGCCTGGTGTGGTGGCTTACTTCCATAATCCCAGCACTTTGGGAGGCCAAAGCGGTAGGAATGTTTGAGCTCAGGCAACACAGCGAGACCCTGTATCTACAAAAAATAATAATATTAGTAGGTAGGCAGGTGGAAGGGTTATCTGAGCCCAGGAAGTTGAGGCTGCAGTGAACCATGATAGTGCCATTGCACTGCAGTTTGGGTGACAGAGTGAGATTCCGACTAAAAAAATAAATGAATAAATAAATAAGTAAATAAGTAAAATATATTATTGGACTTTGACTACATTTACTTCTATGTAGAAACATTTGTATACTCATTCTACCTTCATTAAGTTACACACACATACACACACACACACACACACACACACACACACGCACGCACACCAGTCTCGTGGAGTAGTGAGGTCAATTGAGATAAGGATAGAAAAGAGAACCTTCTGGGAAAACACAGCTGATGGAAA